CTTCGAACGGTGGAGTAGGCACATGCGACGTTGGTCAGTGCATCGACAAAGATGTCGCCATTTGAAATCGATTCTGGTCACATGGCACGATCTCCGATCGGCACGGCTCTTAGTCGCAACGACTACATGCAGAATTTTGCCGATGAAAGCAAACGCATTGTGGCCTAGCGCAACAGAACCTTCGCGACGCTCAGGAACCGCAACAACAGAAGTATGACCGAAAGAGTAGCGCGGTGGATTTGCAGAAGGTGATTTGGTCTACTTGGCTACAAGGAATTAGCCCCTGGTTCACGCCACTAACGGGACCAGACTCGACAAGGACTAGCTCGTCCCAAAGTTTGTTTGCCCTTTTTGCATCATCAAAATGGTCAACAAGAATGTCGCTCTCTTGGAATTGCCCCAAACAATGAGTCGTCTTCATGATGCACTTAATGTTGATGTTCTCCGACACTACGTGTCATCTCTGGGTCGATTCGTGGACCGGCCGCTTTGCAAGGTGTAACCCGTGCATTTTGCGGCTGGCAATGGAGGCGAGGTTCTTCGAATTCCTCAAGTGCTACTAAAACAACGCATTCGGAATCGCCAACAAGAGTTTCTGGTCAAGTGGAAGGATCTTAAGAAAGAAGAGAGCACCTGGGAGCGCGAACGCGATATTAGGCATGTCACTTTTTCGTATTTCCAAATGTTGCTCCAAAATTACTAATATAGTCCTTTTTTTTCTTTAGCACCTTTTGAGCATGTTTGGTGAACAATTTTCTTTTTTAATCCGATAGTTTTGTAGTCGATTATTTCAAATGTAGATCCCAAAAAAGATCGAAGAATTCGCAGAATTGGAGAACAAGTTAATTCTCTCCTGTGTCGCCTCGAAGGTAGCCACCTGATTAATTCTTATATAAAGCAATTTTTACATCCCATTGAAATTACCACAAACTTAAATATCAGAAATATACTTAACAAAAATCATTTTGCAAAACCTGTCATTGTTTTTTTTTCCAAATATTAGAGTTCTGATGGTCGCGATCTCTTATAATACGCACCGCAGCAGTCACTTGGCAATTGGCACGATGCCTCCACACAACAAGCGCAAGAAACATGCCAGGAGTTTCAAGCGCAAGATAGACGGCATCCCTCTATTAGCTGAAGAAAAACATCAACCTCCCAACAAAACCGCCAAGCAACGAAGAAATTAGAACAAGTAACGTGGAAGTCCATCGAGGAACGGGTCTTTTTAATGGCACTCGAGCTCGACGGGGACGAAGCGGGGAGCTCTACAACATTGAGCGACTCTATGCAAAGCGATGAGTGCACAACTTAGAGTTCTACTTAGTGCAATGGGTTGGCTACAGAGAACTAACATGGGAACCAGCGAAAAATTTACCCTGGAAGATAAAGATCGACTTAGAACTGGAGACAATTGACTTCGTATGGCTGTACCAGCCAACAAGAGG